TCCCTACATAACAAACAGGTGGAAGCCAATTCCCCAAACAGCAGTTAAAAAACAAACCCTACAACAGAAATTCAACACAACAGGATACTGCTCCATCTCCCCAGAAAAGATTCTCTCTATCTAGCCATTGTCTAGCCAAGAATTCTGCCAGCCCATTTGCAGATCTGTATACCCATTGCACAAAAACTACTGTCTTTTAAGCTTAGAAATTTCTCTCAGAATGTCTGTACTGCCATGGGCACCTTTCCTCTTTTCTAACCCATTCCACCACCACCTTAGAGTCCCCTTCAACAATAATATTGCTGTAGTTATTCCTCTTAGCCAGCTTTAGATCCTGTAGAGTAATTAAAATTTCTGCTCTAATTGCACTACCAAAACCAGCAATACCAGAAAATAAACCAAGGACGCTTCCATAACATTTCTAAATACTCCCCCATATACAGGAAGGAACGGAGAAGAATTCAAATTTTCTCAAGGAGTATAATTCTTAGACTAGTGATGGCCTATACTACATAAATTGTATGTCATTGAATTCATTTTCTCAAAGTGAATAATTAGCCTAGTTTATTTGCCATTCATATAGGAACCAGACCATCTTTTGTCCATTTGTACCAATTAAAAGTGTTAGAACTGAACCAAAGCCCAGCTCCAACTTACACAATAGGCATGGTATTTATAAAATTTTGAGTAGATTATATGACTTTTCATTTACATCCCTAAGATGGAATCTTCTTGTTATGATAGTTAACTCATTTACATCCCTACTATTTCCACCCTAGAAATGTGCCATACAGGGACAAAAGGAAAGGGAAATGACATTGAATTCATATGCACAAAACCACATATAAATACACTCTTCTAATTTGACTCCTATCAACAATGATCTTAGCTTTTCCAGAATGTCTAAATTTCCAGATTAATGCCTCTCATGCAGTTTCAAAATATTCTTTTTATTCTTTTCCTTGTAGAAAGATGCCATAGTCCCTAAATATTTATCGTTTTCTGTTTCTTGGGATACTGTTCTGAAATTTAATAAAACATTGATATTTGTGGGAATCTAGGAGGGCTCTGGTAGGTGTAAAATGAGGAAAGTAGACTATGATGGTTGGTCATGTGCATAGAAGACCATCTACAACACTAGTAAGAAAAAGAGACCTATTGAAAGTTGAAGAGTCCAGATGAGCTAGGGCCAAACAAAAAATACGTGGATTGAAGTAGTGAGAAATGATTTGAGAACCTAGAATTTAACAACAGAAATGGCACTGATCAGAGCAGAATGGTGGAATAGGATTCATACAGCTGACCAGATATAGTGTTTTTTTTTATCAGCAAGAAATTTTTTATTAATAAAATAGCAAAAGTTACAATCAGTTACAAAAGTTATAGGTAGCAGCAGAAAAGCATTAATCTAGTCCGCACCCACATACAATCCGTTACAGTTCTGCCCAGTGCAATGTAGATCTATTTGCCCCCTGTTTTGCTAGGGTATCCGCCATCCCATTTGCACTCCGTTTGACCCAACCAAATTGAGAGTTGATCCTCCTTGTAAGTATGTCAATTTCTTTGAAGATAAATTTGAGCTTTTAAGGTACTGATGTGAAGTTTTTAGCCCAAGAAATGACCAGTAGTGAGTCTCCTTCTATTTCTAGGTCTGTTATTCCTATTTGCTCAGCCATCTTTAGACCTTGAAGTAGGGCTAGAGATTCAGCCTGTATTGACTCACCAATACTTATTGGTCCTAAGAAGAGTGCCACCACCACACCCAGATGATTTCTAATCACACTCCCTATGCCTGCTCTTCTTGGGTTACCAAAAGAACTCCCATCAAAATTTAGTTTTAGTTTGTTTAGTGCTGGTGGCTTCCATTCCACACTCACAATTTCTTTGGGTGCATCTGTTAGTGCTACTTCAGCCCAACTTCTTAAAATCTCATTCGTGGAGAAATTTTTGAATAGCTCCATGGTCTTCACCCAATGTGCATTTCTGATTTTTATGGCTTCAATAACTTCCTCATTTGATTTACTTTTTTCAGAGAAAATTCTTAGGTTTCTTTCCTCCCATATAGTCCATACTGTAGCTGCTCTTGCTGCCTTCCATAATCATTTTCCTCTTTTCTTCTGTTGTCTCAGGAAGGAGGGGCTGAAAAGACTTACCACATCCTGTGGGGGAGCCCATCTGCATCCAAAGAGAGAACAAACAACATTTCAAATACCAGAAACAAAGGAGCAAGATAAAAGTAAATGGTTAGGGTTTCACCACAATCCATACAAAGGGCACACACATGAGGAGAGAGGCATTTGTTTGGCCTCCTTTTCTGTAGCACATAACAAGTGTTTACCTTCCCTAAGAACACTTCCCAACATAAAGCTTGTACTTTTGGAGGGATCGGTTTACACCACTTTCACTAGAAAGTTCACCCCCATAGGATCAGAGTGAGTGAGCAAACCAAAGAAAGATGCACAAGAAAATAAGCCATCAGGAGTTGGGAACCAAACTCTACTATCAGCTATAGATTGGTCTAAGTAGACCCTCCCAAGTGTTGAGATTAAAAGCACTAGAGACTCACATTCATTTTCCCTCAACCCTCTTCTGAACCCAAAGTCCCAAGAGATACCAAAGTCTGAGAGCATACCAAACCTAGCAACAGGTTTGTTTTTAAGGTTTGATAAGGAGTAGAGATCCGGGAATTTAACCATAAGAGGCACATCCCCAACCCAAAGGTCTTCCCAGAATAAAACCTTATTGCCACATCCGACATCAAACCTAATAAATTGAAGAAAGGTTGGTAATACCTCATTGATTGCCTTTCAGGGAGAGTTTGGAGCTGCATTGGAAGCTAGTTTTGCATCCCATCCGTTAATTGCTTCACCATGAATGCTTTTAATGACCCTGTCCACAACCTATCTTCTTCACAAGAGAATCTCCACAGCCATTTCCCTAGAAGGGCTTATTTTTCTTTAATAAGTTCCCTATACCTAGGCCACCCTGCTCCTTAAGGTAACAAACTTGCTCCCACTTCACTACATGATCCTTCTTTTCATCACCAAATTCCCACAAAAAGTCCCTCATAATCTTCTCCAATTTCCTATCTATTTTCACCGGGATTTTAAAGGTGGAGAGGAAATAAGTGGGTAGGTTAGCTAGGGTCCCCAATGTTTATTCCAGCTACACAACTTTTTCCCCAATTCACTTTTAGTTTGGAGGCCTATTGAAACTTATCCATTAATCTTTTCAGGTTCCTTAAACTGGATTCATCCAAACTTTCACAAAAAAATGATTATGTCACCAGCAAATTGCAAGTGAGACACCACCACTTCTGACCTACCCATCATCCAACCTTTAAACTGGTTATCTTGGTCAGACTTGGTGATTTGTCTACTTAAGACCTCAGCCACAAAAGTGAATAAGAATGGGGATAAAGGATTACCCTATTTGAGTCCTCTTTTAGCCTAGAAGAAATCCTTTGCTACCCTATTCATCAGAATAGAAAAAATGTGTCGAGCTAATACATCCATTAATCCACATCCTCCATCTTTCACATGACCCTATCTTTTCCATTAGATTCAACAGGAAGGACCAATTGACTATATCATAAGCTTTTTCTAGGTCCAATTTACAAATCAAACCTTTGCCACCTTGTTTTTTCTTAGCTGACCAGATATAATTGGGACCGCTGTTGTTAGATTCAGATACCAAATCATAGTATTACTGGTTTAACCACTGGTTAGATCATTCAGCCTGTAAAAACTGTCAACACCAGGAGCCAGAAAGATCACTGGCTGACTGATTTACTGGTTTGACCACTGGGTCCAATCCGAATCTGATAACACTTTCTGGACAAAGTTTTGTTAAATTGAGCCAACCACTAATACAAAAATCAACATTACAGAAGTCTCCTACCAACCAGGTTGAAGATGAATATTTCATTTTTTCAGTTTTTTCCACCTTCTGGATCAGGGTCAATGTACCTTGAAGTGCAAATCAAAATGCATAGTTTAGCTTTTACTGACTTCTTCACTGATATGAATCACCAACTTTATGAAAGGTGATAACTCTGCAATTAAAGAGTGACACTATGAAGTAATTGGCATTGTTGGTCTTAGGATGTTATCTGTCATCCAAGCACTTATAAAAGCTTGATGAATGTTTTAAGCTTTGATTTACATAAGAAATCTAAATTTATAATGCCAAAAATCTCTTAAATGATTGACTGTCCACCAAAGTAAGATTGAATGCAAAGCCACAGCATCGTAGACACAGTCAAACAGAACTGATTGTCCAAATGACACAAGCACATGTGGACCATACACAAAAAGGAGAATCCCAACAAAGAAGGCTGAAAGATGAAGACCAAAAAATGATGATGCATCTACTAAAAGAATTTTTTAAATCATCATTATCATCATCCATGTCTTATTCCAACTATATGGGGTCAGCTAAAAGAGTTTTTCAAATAATGTTTTTTATACAACTTACACCAGCTGGAAGAATGGAAGAACAAGAAAACCCAGCAAAGGAGTGGCCAAACTGAAAAATTATGGTTACCAAATAAAACTGCTCCCCCAACAGTCTTCGATAAACACAAACATCATTAAGTTCTATGCCGGCAATACACGGGGGGTCATCAAATTGATGAGTGCATGAATACAGGTTGTGCATTGCTAGGAATAAGAAATGCATAATACACAGATCACAAGCTCCTATACAATTTGCTGGAAAATGTTTTAACAAGCATTTTGTGCTTTAGTCGTACAAGTGAAAAGGTCAAACATCACAATACACTATTCAAATAAATAAGTAATATAAAATTAAAAAGGTAGAACAGAATGGCAAATTAGTTTGATCCAGAAGGGAGGATACTCCAAGAAATTTCAAGCAAGTACTTATTTCTAAATATCCTAAAACAATTAAAAAGTAGCAATCAGCTTATGCCACCTCAATGAAGATTATCTAGGATGGAAGTCAATAAAAAGAATGCATAACATGATTTAAAAACTAACCTTTACCAACAATAAGGCCAAACTGAGTCCAGGTAAGAGTGTGAAAAGGCTCCAGCTTTGTAAAGTTCAATATAAGGGCAACAGGTAGGAAAATCAAGAGGTTGAACAGCCCAAGGAATCCAAGGAACTGCGCCATACTGGCACGGCCACTCTTTTGATCATCATCGTCAGGGATCTTTTTACGAATAAGGGTAATATACACTGCATACAAGCCTGCTGAAACAAGAGCAAGAATGTCACCTATGAGAGGCTTTGCAGCAATTGCATTTAATCCTGCCTCTGAGTCACCCAGAGTGACTATTATTGTTCCTCCCATGCACATAAGAACACTAATTAGCTTCACCCATGTGAATTTCTCACCCAAGAACACCAGAGCAACCAAAAAAGTGAAAAGACTGGAGACACTGCTTAAGATTGTATTTGACTGCAGGAAGGGGAAAAACATTCTTAATATACCAAATGATCTTTAATGAATCCAAAACCGTAAGTAATACACACATAAAAAGTTGGATTTATAAGCATGAAATTGCTAGACCTTACCGTCACAGTGGTATACTTAAGTGAGAAATTGAAAGTGAGTTGTGCAAGAAACCAGAACGGACTTATCAACAGGCTAACCTTCGCCATTCTGGTACGTGTCCAACGCCCTTTCACATCTAGTTGCTTATTACCATCTTCAATAACTTTATCTACTTCTGGAAGCTCTGGAAATCTGGTTTGAACAGGCAATGTCCTTTCAGGTTCATATAATTCATAGTCTGATTCTGAAATATTACTCTTCTGCTGACTAATTTCTCCCGCTTCAATGACCTCTGGATTTGATTCATTTGTTTCTGTTCTTAACTTATTCTCCCCAAGAAGAAGCACTTCTTCTGAATTCTCCTCTACTTGCAAATGGCTACCCTTCTTATTACGATGCCAAGACCATAAATTCCCAGCTGAATCCTCCAAGCAGTGTGAAATTTCAACAATGGGGATCAAAACCACAAACAGGGAATTGCAGATGTATGTGATGAGGAATGGTGATACACCCGAATCTACAACTGACTGAACAACATAACTTGCAGCAATCCATATAGCAGCAACAGCAATTATATATATCAAACCTAATATCCATCCCCAAACCTTATTCATATCTTTGGAATTCAATGCTCAACCAAACTACTAATCAAATGTACAATGAAGTAATCTATGAAGATTCTCGGATTCCACAATGCCCAAACATAAGAACCACTTTGACAGCCAATTCATCCAGGTTAAGTGAAAACCTAACAGAAGAAAAAGCAAGGAAATTAAAGATAACAGACAATTAAAAAAAACGGTGGATCGCCAGAAGATGGAATTATCAAAACGAGTGTCTGAGTTGGGAGTGAACTGACCCATGCTCAATTGAACAACTGGGTGGACCTCCAGAAGATAGAATTATCAATACCCGACACAGTGGATCGGTATACCTTCAAACCATATCTATCGACCCTCCAAATCTCAGAACACATATACTAATTACAACATGAAAACGAATACAATTCTACATCATACTGAACTAAATAAAGAATCAACCCTCCTGGACATATAGATAGAGAAAGCAGATCACACGAAGAATGCTAGACTAAGGTTTCCATGTCTTTTTAGAGTATGTGTTAAGTACGACAACATGCAGAAAGGAACTTGCCCAACAGAAGACTATTCAGGGTTTCCCTCAGATATTGAGATTCTCATTGTCTGATCCTCCTCAAGCTCGGAGTTCTGGATAATTTGGGTATTGAAAAGAAGAGATACGACAACAATTGATACTGGCCAGTCTTTTCTAAATGGATAGATCATGGATGGGTAGATGCAAACACTTCTGCACGTGGGTATTCCAATTTTCAACCGTCGAATCGATYGGAGTTTACCCCTAAATTACAAGTTGCAACCCTACGGTACGTAGTCACTATATTTTGTGGGGGCACCCGAAAGCGAAAACATCTTCTTCATATTTTGTGGGGGCACCCGAAAGCGAAAACATCTTCTTCTCTTCATTAATGAATTAAACTAGATCAAAACGTTTAGCATAATGAATTAAACAATGAGTAGAGAAGTATTTGCTTTTTGTTGACATATACAAACTACAACACCACCGAAACTTCTTCAAAGACCGAAACTTCTAACAATTCCAACTTGCACTTAGTTCCAATTGAATACAAGTTGGATTCCCAGACTTTCCACGTATTTCTCAAACACTTTCTGTGTCAGTAGTTTAGTCATTGGATTTGCCCCATCCTCATTCACCGCTGATGCTACCTTTTAACATCAATCTCCTGTATATCCAGTGTTGTCATACAACAGTGGAATGGGTGATGTGCTGAATTCCAAATTCCAGAATGAACACCTTCATTCATAAGGCAGCCTCACTTACGACAATGTGTTCGGCTTGGGTTGTAGACTATTATTTTTACTACTCAGGACCCCTATTTGCTGCTCTTCCAGCTAACAGCACACGATCCTATCGTAAAGTTATAACCAGATGTAGACATTCTACCATCTAGATCTGACTGAAAATTAACATCAGTATACCCTTGGATCTGTAGTGAACTACCACTGAATACTAGACAAAACTCTTTTGTCCTTCGAAGGTAYTTGAGTATGTTTTTCATAGCAGTCCAATGCTCCTGCCCTAAGTTTGAATGGATATGCTTACCACACTCACTACCTGAGAGATGTTAGGACGAGTGCACAGCATGGCATACATGATGCTCCCTACGGCTGATGCATAGGGAATGTCCTTCATGCCCTCAATCTCCTCGGGAGTCTTGGGAGACATACCCTTGGAAAGAGTGACTCCATGCCTAAAAGGAACATTTCCTTTCTTGGAGTTCTCCATGCTGTATCTCTTGATTATCTTGTCAATGTAAGTAAATTGGGATAATCCTATTATCCTCTTCGATCTATCTTATCCTCTTCGATCTATCTCTCTATAGAGCCGAAGACCTAGAATGTAGGAGGCTTCTCCAAGATCATGGAGAATTGTTGTGAAAGCCATACTTTCGTCGTAGTCAACGTTCCTGTGTCATTCTCAATGAGTAGAATGTCATCTACATACAGAACCAGGAACGTAACCTTATCCCCACTGAATTTTCTATAAACACAAGGCTCATCCGGATTTTGCTCAAAGTCAAACTTTTTGACGGTAGAGTCAAACTGGATGTTCCAACTCCTAGAACTTTTTGACGGTAGAGTCAAACTCTTTGAACTTTTCAAAGGATTCAGACTTCTGTCTCATTAGGTATACGTAACCATACCGTAAGTAATCATCGGTAAATGTTATAAAATAAAGTACTGGTTACGTGTCCTAACACTCATGAAACCACATACATCAGTATGTACATGGTCAAGCGTGCCTGTACATCTTTTAGGCTTACTGTTAAATGGCAATTTCGTCATCTTACCCTAAAGGCAAGGTTCACAGGCTGGAAGATCTTCTACAGTTAGAAAATCCAAAGGACTATCCTTTACCAACCTTGTGATATGATCTATGTTAATATGACAAAGTCAGTAATGCCACAGACACGTGGGATTAACTGTATCACGGGTTCTTTTCTTGGGGATGTCACCCGACGTAGTTCCGGTTATGCTAGTTTCCAGAGAAGGATGGAGAACATAGAGACTATTCTTAAGTTCTCCGTATGCGAGGAATTTGTTATTTCTTTTAATAGTAATCGTATTACTAAAGAAAACAGAATATCCATCCGCACACAGTTTTGAAACAGAAATCAAATTTCTTYTCAAATTTTGTACATAAAGACAATCTTTCAGTACAATAGTTCATTATCTGAAAATTAACTCTACAGTTCCTATAGCTATAGCTACAACACTTGTAGAAGTCCCCAAGTAAAGAGTTACTTCTCCGTCACCCAGTCTTCTGCTTATCCTGAACCCCTGCAGTGAGTTACACGCATGAGTCGAAGCCCTAAAGTCAATACACCAGGAAGCAAAAGTTACCAACAAATTGATTTCTATGACACAGGATTCAAAATTACTTTGTCTCTTGGATTCCAAGTACTGAGGACAGTTTCTTTTCCAGTGGCCGACCTGTTTGCAGAAGTGACAAGCATCTGATGCTCTGTCTTTCTTCTGCCTTTGGGGCTTAACATCTTTCTTCTGAGGCTTTCTCTTCGCCTTCCTCTTCTTCTTTCTCGATTTGCCGGCTTGAACAAGCATAGCAAAGTGCTCATCCTTTTTTATCAGTTATTCGGCCCTCTACAACATATTGCTGAGTTCCTGAGTGCTAACATTTATCTTATTCATGTTATAGTTCATGATGAACTGATTGAAGGAAGGAGGCAATGAATTTAGGATGGCGTCCACCTTCATGACATGGTCAAGCCCGAATCCAAGAGCCTCAAGTTCATTAATATAACCCATCATCTTGAGACAATGGTCATGAACCTGTTGGTTCTTGGACTTTTGTGCGGTCATGTACTGCTTCAAGACCTTATGCCGAGTAGAATGATTCCGCTCTTTGTACATCGTCTTAAGACTATCCAAGATATCTTTGGACAATTTGATCTGATCAAACTGTCGCTGTATCGGGTTATCGAAGGAGGCTATGATGTAGTAGCGGGCTAGGGAATTTTTCTCTTCCCATTCTTGGTAGTCCCTCATACGGGCCTCAGAAGCCCTATCACCTGGACGTTCCGGGGTAGGATTTTTAGCTACTTTGTCCAATTTTTCTGATGTCAGAACCACCATAAGATTACGGTACGAGTCAACATAGTTTGGGCCTTTTAGTTTGTTGTCATCCAACAATCTTGCGAATTGTTCGTTTGCCATTTCTGATAAAAGGCAAATATTAGTCCACAACCTAATTTGATTCATGTTATCTACATAGATATGACTTTTAATATATGTTCCATTTCTAATTGTTCATCTCTGAGATTTCCCTCCTATCTCAGTGATAGAGACTATGGATTATGTCTCTGGAATGTGAAAAATCACATAGGGTGCAAGGAACAGTGCTGCACTATCTATTCACATGGATCCCGGGAATTAAAACCTTTTGCAAACATTTTGAAACCATAATATATATATGTATATATATATATATATATGTATATCTCTATATAAATATATTTTGCAAAATAAATTTCAACGGTTGAAATCGGCTACCGGCAGCTTTGGTTTCCACCAGAGAGAGTGCATCCCCGATCATTCACTTTGTCTGACAAAGGGGCTGATCCTGTCACTATGATCACCCACTCAGACGAATTCTTGGACTGTCCTAACATACCCAGGTTTTGACCCCCTCTAAGGATCTCACTGATTGTCATATCAAAGATAGCCCAATCCGACACCTAGTGTAGTATCATAATCGAGTCTAGGGCCAGGTGTAACATTCCAGTTTTGCCCATCTATCTCCAAGGTCCAGGGCAATACTAGAATTCTAGTCTGGTTCGGGGTTTCAAGCAAACCCACACTGCATGTACCTCAGGTCTCACTCTAGCAGCTGAGACAAGCCAGCCCAACCAACTTGGCGGCACATCAGTGTCAGCCTTGGCAGGATAAATCTCCCCAGATCTGTCCAACGGCTGTGGAGATTCTAAACTAATACGTGTCTCATAAGTGTCCAGTTTAAGGGTATTACACAGAAACACACCATAATAACATGAATCAAATATGTACTTTATTCATTTACATTAAATGTCATAATGTACATCATTCTGATTGCAGTTAAGGGCATACATTGTCTAACACAAAACGTTATGGGAAGCAGCCTGTTGTGGACAAGGGGGAGAGTAGCCATCCTCCTACTACAAAGAGGCCAAGAGCCTGTTGATTAAGCTGTGATTTTATTGCATGTGCGAGAGGGTCGTGCTGAGGGTGGTCAGGAGTCTACAACATCACCCCCTATGGAAGAGACTGCATCGACCATTGAGCTAGTGGACTTCCAGTTGTGGTGCCCTCTTCTACGGGTGCCATCGTCCGATTTTCAAGCAGGCGAATGAATAGGAAGGCTCCCCCTCGCTCGAAGCAGGGTCCTACAAATAGTGCTTCGATACGTGACTCCTGCTGCTGCTTTCTATTTTTCTTTTGGATTTGTTTCATCATGACTAAACTAAATTAGTACTGTTTGCTTTTTGTTCTTGCAGTTTATGGAGAGTGGTGAAGTTCAGCTAGATACGGAGGTTCCAGTAACTCCTCTTGAGGGAGCAAGTCTAGTGAGTTTGCTTTATCATTTGACACTCTTTTATCTCTTTTGAATGTTGTTGTTGTTGTTGTTTCAGGTTTATCATGGTTTTTGTTGAACTGTTTGTAGTCTTTTGTGCTGAAGCACGTGGAAACCAATGAGGTTCACCCAGACTTAGAGACATTAGAGGCCTCTGTTGCGGATGGAATGGTTTGTTTTTGTTAGCTTTGTGTTAGGGTGGTGTCACATCGTGTTTTATGTTGCTTACGCACATGGTCCATTTGGTGCGGTCCCTGCCACCATGCCTGTCACACCTATTATTAGGTGGTTGGTGGAGGAGCTGATATCAGTGCAACCCCCCTGTGTGGCTTCTGAGGTCCTTGAAAGTGTTGGTGCTGAGGAGGCTATCCCTAGTGAAACGAGGTAGGAGGGTGAGGTTCTTGTTAGCTTTGAAACTATGATACCTTGCGAGGAGGCTCCACTCCTACCTGCATATGTTAGCATTGATGCTCCTGAAGTTGTAGAGGTCAGGGATCTTGTCGAGCCGAAGGCCTCAGTTGGGGAAGCTTGTGCCTCTGGGAACTTGGAGGCTCAGTCTGGAGGCGGGGACATGGAACCTGGGATCGTCTTTCCGTTGGAAGAGCTGACTTATGAAGAGGAGTTGGCCCTGATTTACCAGGAATTGAGGGAGTATTGTGATAAGCATAATATCCCTCCTCTGGGTTATCAAACTGAGAATCCTATGGAGGTTTAGGGCTGTCGCGAGGGTGAGAGGTACTTTGTTTCCGGCTCGGTGG